GTTTCTCTCTCTCTCCCTCTCCCTTCCTCTCTCTGAAATCAATAAAGATATATTTTTTTTAAAAAATGGACAAAGGACTTAACAGACATTTCTCCAATAAGCACATGAAAGGCTGCTCAACATCACTAATCATTAGGGAATGTAACTCAAAACCACAATGAGATACCACCTCACACCCATTAGGATGGCAATTTATACACACACACAAGCACATACAGAAAATAACAAATGTTGATGAGAATGTGCAGAAATTGGAACCCCCATGTATTGTCAGAAAGACTGTAAAAGGGCACACTCTGTGGAAAATAGTTTGGCAGTTTCTCAAAAAGTTAAAGATAAAATTAACATATGATCCAGCAATTACACTCATAGGTATACATGCAAAAGAATGAAAAGCAGGTACTCAAACAGATATATGTACAAAAGGTGGAAACAACTCAAATGTCCATCCACATATTAATGGATAAATAAAATGTGGTGCATACGTACAATGGAATATAATTCAATCTTTAAAAGGAATGAAATTCTGACACATGCTACAACATCGATAAACCCTAAGACATTATGCTACGCAAAATAAGCCAGACACAATAGGGCAAATGTATGATTCTACTTACATGAGTACCTAGAATAGGCAAATTCACAGACACATAGAGTAGACAGAAGTTACCAGGGGTCAGAGAGAGGTGGGAATGGGGTGTTATTGTTTAATAAGTGCAGAGTTCCTGTTTGGGATGATGAAAAAGTTCTGAAAACTGAGACTGATGTTTACAGATGTATTAATGTTAATGATGTATTAAGTACTTTGTGAATGTACTTAATACAACTGACCTGAACACTTAAAAATGATTAAATGGTAAATTTTATGATATATATATTTTACAAATAAGAAACAAATGCTAAGAATGGACTTGGGCTAGAGGCCTTCTATGTGCATCTTGGCAGTGGAGCAATGGCATGGAATGAAGCCCACAGCCAACCAGTCAGTACACAAATACTAGACAAACACAAGCAGTTTCAACATTGCTGGGCAAGATACACTGTTACCCTGAGTTTAGCAAAAAGCAATGACATCCAAAAATCATTTCCAAGTCCTCTTAAGGCTTGGTTTCCTGGCTTCCTCTCAATCACCCCATCTGTCCACAAGAATAGAACTAGAGAGCCGGAACAGCAAAAATTTGAAAGAAGTCCAAAACCAGGGGCTGCCTGTTGGCAGGTTACTAGTCAGAAGCTAAGGAATTCAACAGTGCCAAAGCCCTGTTCTCAGAGAGTCAACAAGTTTGCAAAGACACTCATATCTTTCTCTCCCTCTTAAAAAAAATTTTTTAGACAGAGCCGAAGGGAGAGGGACAGAGAGATAGAAACACTGACGAGAGAGAAACATCATCGATCAGCTGCCTCCTGCATACCCCCTACTGGAGATCGAGCCTACAACCCAGGCATGTGCCCTGACCAGGAATCAAACTGTGCAAGATCTCTTTGGTTTCTAGGTCGACACTCAACCGCTGAGCAATACTGGCCATGCTAAATCTTTTTTATTGAGGTATAAAATACATATAGAAAAGTATATATCATAAAAAAGATTTTTTAAGTCTACTAGGGAAAATTTAAGCTCAATAATCTCAAATGCATCTCTTCATAAATTGGGAGTTTAAAAATAAAATTATTTCAGCACAAACAGCATTTTCTTAACTGCCAAATGTTAAAATATTTTTTTATTTATTTTTTTCCCTACTGGAAGGGCTAATTATAGCAATAAAAAAAACTCAAGTTGTATAGTAGATGGCCAACTTAGCAATAAAACTGTTAAAGACTAGGATTACCAATTTATACTAACATTCATGCAATTCATGCAAAAAAACAGTTATCGCCAATTCCTTGCTTTCTTTCACTTTCCACATCCCTTCCAATTCATCTCAAAGTAACTCATCTACATTCACAACATTTCTTCTATCTGCTCACTTCTCTCTACTCTGACTGCTAAAATTAATATTACTTCACCTGAACTACTACGATAACTTCCTTTAAGTGTTCTCCTGGCTTCATTTTTTTTCTTTTGGCACAATACTGACTTTTATTAGTAATCCCTAGGCTTGGCAAACAAATTTTGAAACAAGTTATAACAAAACTTAAACAGAAAGGGAATTTTCATAACTGTGAACAGAGGTGGAAATGTAGAATGGAGGTTGTCTAAAGTCCCATTTTGAACATAACACCATTTTGAAGTGGAGTGTCAATTTAGGCTCTATTCATTTTGGATATCTAACCTTGCTAACAGAATGAAGGATGAAGTTTTTGCTTTTTATCTTGAGATCCCATTTTACCTAACTACTATCACACAGAGATTTGGAAGTAAAAGAGAGTTGCTTTTAATGTGCAAAAAACTATTCCAACCTTAGTGATTTTTCCCTGGGATCTTAATACCATGGCTTCACTTTTGGCTATATTATAATCCATCCTTCACATGTGAATCAAAGCGATCCTACCCAAACATAAGTCACACTGCATTATCCCATTTGAAACCCTACAATGGTTTCCTATTATACTTAGAATAAAAATCCAAATTTCTTACCAAGGCCAAGTTCTTGCCTTTGTTCTTCCCTCTGCCTGTATTTTATACTCCCAGATCAGCCTGCCTCAAAGAAGCATTCCTCACTCAAACTAAAGTGGTAGCCCCTTACTCTGAGGTGGAGTCTGAGCATCCATAATTTTTTAAAGCTTCTCAGGTGAGTCTGATATATAGTGATGCTGAGAACCACTGCACTAAATGAGTCTTGCTTTTGCTTGCAACAATTTTTCCGCCAATTTATTTCCTGATACTTCTTATTGCCCGTGGGTTGAAAAACTGAAAAAAAACAATAGAAAGTGATAAAATAAAAAGGAATGGCTAATCATCAGGAACCTACACTAAACCAATGCCAAAGTCACACCTATATGTAACATGCAAGAGTTATGTTTATAAACTTCAGAGAATTTGTACTGCATGTACCAACTTTTTTTAAAAATATGTCTTTATTGATTTCAGAGAGAAGGGTAAGGGAGAGAAAGAGAAACATCAAAGATGAGAGGGTCATTGATCAGCTGCCTCCTGCACGCCCCTTACTGGGGACTGAACCCACAAGCCAGGAATGTGCCCTGACCTCAAATCTAACCTCGATCTCTAGGATCATGGGTCGATGCTCAACCACTGAGCCACACTGGCTAGGCTGTACCAACTTTTTTATTGTTCTTAGTTCATGACACTCAGCTCAAAATAAGAGAGTTGAAGTTGTCAGAGAAATCAAATATAAACGTTACTTCCTCAGAACTGCCTTCTTCAATTTCCTGGGTAAAGAGAGAAATTCCCTCTGCTGAGCTTTGGTAAGGCTCTTCAGTCTCTGATAAGCTTTCTCACACTAATTGCTGTTTTCCTTTTACTGTCATCTCCATAAAATAAGGCACTTGTCTGTACTGTTCACTGATATATCCCCAACACCTATACAGTGCCTGACACATGATTGATGCTTAGTAAATAGTGACTTATGTGATTCATTTATTCATTCAACAAATATTTACTGAACACCATTTACCAGGGAGCATCCTAGACCCCAGACCTTAAGGATACAGCAGTGAACAAAAGAGCAAAAATTCTTGCCCCCCCCTTATATGCTAATGTGGAGCACAGACAAGATCAATAAGTAAAACAAAATACAGTTAACCCTTGAACAATGCAGGTATTAAGAGCACCAAGCGTCAGCCTCCAGGCAGTCAAAAATTTAACTACTGTCCCTCAGTATCCACAGGGGATTGGTACCAGGGCCCCTAGTAGATACCAAAATCCTTGGGTGCTGAAGTACCTTATATAAATGATGTAGAACAATGTATACAGCCCCTCACATCTGTGAATTCGCAACCATGGATGCAAATCCCAGAGATATGGAGGGCTGACTATATATCTACTGAAAAAAATCCATGTAAGTGGACCCACACAGTTCAAATCTATGCTATTCAAGGTCAAATGTATATTGCAAGCTAGGTAGTAATAAATGACATCAAGAATAAAGCAGAAAAAATTAATCTATGATAACAAAAGGTAGATTAGGGGTTGTCAAGGAATTACAGTGAAGAGAGGGACACAAGGAAACTTTTAGGGGCTGATGGACACGTTTCTTGACTGTAATGGTGGTTTCAAAACTGTATATACCAGCAAGTATGGCTCAGCTGGCTGAGCTTCGTCCCATGCAGCAGGAGGTCATGGTTAGATTCCCAGTCAGGGCACATTCGCAGGTTGCAGGCTTGATCCCCAGCAGGGGGCATGCAGAAGACAGCCGATCAATGACTCATCATTGATGTTTCTATTTCTCTCTTTCCCTCTCCCTTCCTCTCTCTGAAGTGAATAAAATATATATATTTTTAAAACAGAAACCATGTATATGCTAAAATTATCTGCTATAATGGCTGTAAGAAAAAGCAGCAGTGTTTTGTAAATAATCAAGATCAAATTAAAAATTACTTGTGGGCTCAAGGACAGAGATAGCACACTTAGGGTCCTTAGGAACAATACATTACAGTACTTAAGATGCACTGTCTCCTGTACCTGACTGCCTATAAAGATGACTAGGTGAGATAGTTTTGTTCTGCATTGTTTAATCTCAATTTCTGGTCTCTATTTTGCATCTCTATCATTGTCTTGGAGACTGTGACCAAATGCCAAGAATTCTGAGATCTAATCAAAATGTAGTAGTGGCAAACTTCTGTACAATCACCTTATTGCCCCATTTTGTTCTTCTGCAATAGCTAAGATAACCCTGAGGCTGGTTTCCAGACTCTATACACAATTCACAGTTTCCAAATTTTTAGATGATTCCATCTCTGAAGTGGGATTCTAAGGAAAAGAGTCTTTTCCTATTTTCTCACTACTTCTGCAAAGATGACTGTGACATAAAATCGATTTGAATGTATTGCTAATATGTAAGGGAAAATATAATTTACAACGGGAAACTGATTGAAGTTGAACTCACCTGTCCACTTTTCCCTATTTCCAGCTCCATTATGGCAACAGGGGTGTGTATCTGAGCTGAGTGCCTCGACTGTGACTTGCCGTCAACTCTCCAGCTGAGGCCCCGAAGCCCACTGTCCCAGCGGCTCTGGTTCATCAGGCTCTCTCGGATCTTTGTCTTATGACTCTTCCAGAATTTAGAAATGACCGCAGCTTGATCAGATGTGATCCCTCCTTGCTTTTTGGTTTGAGCAGTCAAAAATGCTTCCAACTGGTTGAAATCCATGTCTGCAGATGCAATAGACTATAATGACAGAAAAAGTAATAAATGTAATTTGGTAGATAACTAGTAAAAGGTAGTTGTTTTTTTTAATATATCTTTATTGATTTCAGAGAGAGGAAAGGAGAGGGAGAGAGAGACAGACAGAAACATCAATGATGAGAGAGTCATTGGGGATCGAGCCCACAGCCCGAGCATGTGCCCTGACCGGGAATCGAACCTCGATCTCCTGGATCCTAGGTCGATGCTCAACCGCTGAGCCACACCTGGCCAGGCGTAAAAGGTAGCTTCTTAACTACAGATCATATTTTGAGTGACTCATAATTAATGAATAAGTTTCACAAAAGGGTCGCCAAGTGACAGTAATGAGAATAAACTCTTCATAAGTACAAAAATATTCCCTTTGCAAATATCAAATATCAGAAAAGCTATTGCTAAAAATTCCATGTCATTCAAATTCTATGTCAATAACTATAATCTAATTTTTAAATATCCAGTACTATGGTGGGAAAATAATAAAGTAATAAAATGAAAATTTAAAAATAAAATAAGAGAATAAAATTAATTAGCTCTCTAATGAAATCTGACCTAACGTATTAAAATTGTGCGATGCCTTGGAAGTTTTGTTAAATGAATCCATTCTTTTAGCTCTGTAGTCTATCTTCAGCCAAATAGCTCATTCACAATATTACTCCGAAATTGTATACTTTACGCTTTCCCATAAATTTCAAAACTTAATTGCCATTACTGTTCTCAAAGGAGTAAGCAGCTAAACTGAAGCAGAAAATCATTAGAGGGCTAAGGCAATAAAGCCTTGGAGAGGACAGTGACAATTAATGATCTGGTCTCAGGACAAGCTCTCCCCTGCCTCTTCTTTGGTATGTCCTTACCCTTTCCTGGCCACTGGAGTTGGCATGAGCTCCAAACCAGACAAATCTCTGCACCCTCCTTTCTTTGGGAATAATAGATGACTCAAATAAATCTCCCAATTTAGAGCAGGAAGTGAAATGGTCTTGCCCCTTGGAGTCATGGTACCAGAAGGGGTTGCAGACAGCCATCGTTGATCTTTTGGCAAAGGCCTGATTGAAAGTGAGTTCCAATGGAGTGATATCCCTGTTTTATAATCCCCTGGTTCCTGCAAACTTCCTTCAATTCTGTATATTATCTCTGTATCCTTTCTACCTATAGGCACCAAAATATTGCTTTGACTGTTCAAGACAGTTTAAACCGCATTCCTATTATTTGGAACCAAAAGTACTGACTAAACTTGGGCAGTAGCAGTAAGAACAGAGGAATGTAAAAACAGACAGTGTACAGGTAGACTATAGGTAGAGGAAGTGGGACTGGAGCTGAAAAACAAACATGGTGCCTTTTATTCCTCCATTAATATATAGAAATTTTATAATAAATATGACTTTTTGATTAAAAGTATTTCATATTGCAATTCAATAAACATTTATTGAATATCTGCCTATTTAGCAGGTATGAGGACCCAAAATCTCTGGCTATGCCACTCAATAAAAACATTAATTTATATAATGTAAAATAAATTAAGTCAAATTATCTCCCCTGGCACTTTGTTTCACAATAACACAATTCGGGTTATTTGTATCACTCTTTTCCTCAAATCATACCAAAATATCCATTCTGATATAACTTAACTTGTGACAGATATCATTTGGTTGGGTTCCAGTCAATAATATCTTAAACTGGGGTCAACTCATCCAAATTAAGAATAATAAAAAATAATAAAAAATTAAATGAGGAATTGATTTTGGTTTGAGTTCAAAGTCATCAATTTTCACCAAATTTCAAAGGAACCTACAAGAATTTAAAAGCCCTGGTGGGTTTGGCTCAGTGGTTAAAGTGCCTGTCCATGCACCAAAAAGTCAAGGGTTTGATTCCCTGTCAAGGGCACATACCTGGGTTGCAGGTTCAATCCCTAGTGCTGGTCAGGGTGCATCTGGGAAGCAACCAATTGATGTCTCCCTCTCTGTGTCTCTCTACACCCCCCTCCACTCTCTCTAAAAAACTCAATGGAAAAATGTCCTCAGGTGAAGATTAACAAAACTAAATAAATTTTAAGGTGAGAAGTCATTGAACAACCTGAATTACAGACCCATGGGTATGGTAATTTAGGCATCATTAATGTCTTAAATATGCAAAGTCATTAAAATCCATGGTAGCCTACATTCCATTTCTTTTCAAATCGCCATATTTCTGGAATATAATCAAACACAGAGTAAAAAATGACCAAGTTTAAGAAAAGATTTTGTAAATGTGTATCTAACAAAAACAAATGTCACAAAGACTTCACAAATGACCTGGATTATAATTAAAATCAATTCAAATATTAAATATTTAAAACACATTCTGGCAAACCAGGCTGGGCTGCAGCCACCACTGCCGCCATTGTGCCAGCCCCTCTGGTCTCAACAAGGCCAGGTGATGCTCCATAATGGAAGACAAGCCAACTTGGGAGCAGATTGGATCTAGCTTCATTCAACATTACTACCAGTTATTTCATAGCAAAAGAACCCAACTAGGTGCAATTTACATTGATGTGTCATGCCTTATGTGGGAAGGACAGCAATTCCAGGAGAAAGCTGCCATTGTAAAGAAGTTGTCTAGCCATCCATTCCAGAAAATCCAGCACAGCATCAGGGCGCAGGACCATCAGCCCACACCAGACAGCTGCATCATCAGCATGGTTGTGGGCCAGCTGAAGGCTCATGAAGACCATCACGGGGTTCCACCAGATGTCCCAACTAAAGAACATCAAGGATGCTTGGGTTTGCACCAATGACTTGTTCAAGCTTGCCCTGTACAACTTCAGCCGACCTGTACAACTTCAGCTGACGTCCTCCCAGCCAGGCACTCATGCTGTTTCCTACTCTTCTGGATACTATTCACACTCCTCTAGATGCTCCAAATACACACAAATGAACAGGGCAATGGTAGGAGTGGGCGCAGTGCACAGTGTGCATGGTGTCTGGATGCTAGACTACATTTGACAGGAGAAGTTTGTGTTGTACCAGTGCATGCCTTGGAAAGACTTAAGTAATGCAAAAGGTTGTCTTTTTTTTTTTTTTTATCTTTATTGATTTCAGAGAAAGGAAGGGAGCGAGAGAGCGAGAGAGCGAGAGCGAGAGAGAGAAAGAGAGAGAGAGAGAGAGAGAGAAACATCAATGATGAGAGTCATTGATCGGCTGCAGCCCGCAACCCGGGCATGTGCCCTGACCAGGAATCAAACCCTGATCGCCTGAGCCACGCCCGGCTGGGCAAAAAGGTTGTCTTTTTTCTTTTTTTTAATCTACTGACAGGTTGCTCAAATACTCAACAAAGTGAAGGAGAAAGCAGCTGCCTCGTAGCACAGATATTGATTTGTTCAGATGTTTCAATGCTCATGAAACAAAACCACAAAAATTTTCTTAACAGTTTAAATAAATAAAACACATCCTAAAAGATAAACTATTCAGACTTAACACAAACATTGTAACTCTACTGAAAACAAAAGGTAGGTCAACATATCACTTTTTAAAATTCCCTTCTAGCTCTTGTATATATGCATATATGATTTGTGATCATAGTTTTATTTTTTTCAATTTTTTTTTTTAATCCTCACCCAAGGATATTTGTTTCATTGCTTTTCAGAGAGAATGGAAGGGGGAGGGAGAGAGAGAGAGAGAGAGAAACATCGATGTGAGAGACAAACATGAATTGGTTGCCTCCCGCATATGCCTCAATCTGGGGCTAGGGATCGAGCCTGCAACCAAGGTACGTGCCCCTGGCTGGAACTGAACCCAGGACCCTTCAGTCCGCAGGCGAACATTCTAACCACTGAGCCAAACCAGCTAGGGCTGTGATCATACAGTAGTTTTATTCATCATATAGATATACTTTAAAGAAATATAAACATTTGCCCAGACAGTGTGGTTCAGTGGTTGAGGGTCGACCCATGAACCAAGAGGTCACTGGTTCAATTTCCGGTCAAAGCACATGCCCGGGTTGTGGGCTTGATCCCCAGTAAGGCGTGTGCAGGAAGCAGCCCATAAATGTTTCTCTCTCATTGATGTTTCTATCCCTCTCCCTTCCTTTCTCTCTAAATTCAATAAAAACACATTTTTTTAAAAAGGAAATATAAACATTTGGACACAAAGCAAGGCTAGCAATTGCGATTAGAGTCTGTCCTGGGTAAATATATTATCTATGTTCTGAAAGATAATAACACTTTTACACAACTAAGCAATCCCTAAGACTTTCAGGAATAATCAAATCAAAAAGTAACAGCAATGGACCTACCTATTAGAATGGACAAAACTCAGAACACCGACACACCAAATGCTGGCAAGGATGTGTAGTAATATGTACTTCCACTCACTGCTGGTGGAAATGCAAAATAGTACCACCTCTTTGGAAGAGTTTAGTGGTTTCTCACAAACTAAACATACTCTTACTATACAATCCAGCAATTTCACTCCTTGGTATTTACCCAAATAAGGTGAAAACTTATGTCCACACAAAAACCTGCACGTGAATGTTTTATAGTAGTTTCATTATTTGCCAAAACTTGGAAACAACCAAAAAGTCCTTCAGTTGGTGAATGGATAAACTATTGTACATCCAGACAATGAATATTATTCTGTACTAAAAAGAAATGAGCTATCAAGCCATGAAGACACGGAGGAAACTTAAATCATATTACTAAGTAAAAGAAGCTAATCTGAAAAGACTACATACTCTATGATTCCAATTATACAACGTTTTGGAAAAAACAAACAAAGTCAATAAAAAGATCAGTGGTTGCCAAGGGAGAAGGGGGAGGGAGAGATAAACAGATGAAACACAGGGTACTTTTAAGACAGTGAACCCATTCTGTATTATACTACAATGTCATTGCACATTTTTCAAAACCCACAGTACGTACAAAACAAAGAGTGAGCTCTAATGTAAACTAAGGTCTCTGAGAGATAAAGATGTGTCAATGTAGGTTCATCTATTATAACAAATGTATCTCTGGACCA